GGGGAAGGGGGGCGTGTGTGCATGTGCGCGTGTGCCCTAGGGCAGGCCGCTAAAGCATCCACCCCATTTTTTGGGGTCTTAGGAGCCTTTTTTTGGGCCCAAGCTTTTCTGGTGCACTCTCTTGGACCTTGCGAACAAGATTGTGAAAATAATTCTAAAAAAAATGAAAACAACTTTTTCTTGAGGAGAGAGAAAATGCAGTGATATAGATTGTCCATTTTAAGGAAAGGGACCATTTTAGAAAATACAATACAAATGATGTAGATTGAGGGCCTGGGGGGGGTGGGTTCTTGACCCCAGATTTTGTAGATACCTCTACCAGATGAACAATTTGAAATTCTTTTTCTTTGATTTTGAAATTCTTAAAGGCCAGATCTAGCCGCTCATAAAGTGGACAGCTTGTGGACACTGAGTTCAAAAGTATAGGGGCTCTTGTCTATTCTTTTTTATGGGCTTCTTTGCTGGGTCCAAGAGAGCATGCTTGCGAAATTTGGGCCCAAATGAATGCTCCCATGACCCCCCAAAATGGGTGGCTGGATGCTGGAGCAGTCTGCCCTGGGGCAGGTGAAATCTTTATATGTGTGTGTATATATATATATATATATATATATATATATATATAGAGAGAGAGAGAGAGAGAGAGAGAGAGAGAGAGAGAGAGAGAGAGAGAGAGATTTTACGTTGAGTTGCATGACTGCTGCAAACATATGGAACATTGATTTTACGTTGAGTTGCATGACTGCTGCAAACATATGGAACATTGACTAGTTTAGGCATTGTGAACGTGCTTGTTTGCATAACTACAATCCATAATGTAACATGGTTGTAGATCTTTGTGGCTATTTCAAATGATACTCCCCACAGTTGCAGTAAGGTAGTCCGTTGTTTGCTCAATAGAATCATATAAGTAGATACATATGTACGTAGTGAATGTGCTTGTTTGGATTGCTACAATCCATAATGTAACATGGTTTTAGATCGTTGTGGCTATTTCAAATCATACTTCCCACAGTTGTACTAAGGTGGTCCCTTGTTTGCTCAATAGAATCATATAAGTAGATACATATGTATGTCCCTGCAGGTCAAAGTCAAGAGAAGAGGAGATGACACCAAATACGTGGCAAAGGTGACTCCATTCTTTCGCCCATCCTTATTTCTTCTGTTTCAAATAAAGATGTCTTCTATCTTAATGTGTACTTGAATATAACTGCTTCAATATAAAATATTTGTGGATTAGAAGATCAGTGTATTCGATTCTGCCGTTCTAGTTTACTTTATTAAGGTGCATGTTTACATAATTACATATAGCTCTCACTCAATGAAATTAACTGCAGTTAGTAACCTAATTGATTAGCTTTTGTGGTCCTCTGTGACCTTTTTTATTTGAACATGTAGCTGTCAAGGGCTGCACATTGTCCTTGAACTACTCAAATCCTTTTAAAGTTAATATCACTAGCTTGAGCATTGTCTGATACAAAAATATACATCCTCTTGAGAAGGCCTTTTATGTGTGGTTCTAAATAAAGGTTTTATAAAATAATTTTATGGGCTTTTAGTTTGGGAAATGTTAAAGATTTGTGACATATTTTTTCTTTTCCCATCGACTATCATCATCCTGAAAGATGATGGTTGAATTTACACTATGGCTGCCATCTTCGTGTTTTTGAACTTGCTACTTGCTGATTGTCCCAAATTTTTTATTTTTTATTTTTATCATGACACATCTGTGATTGCATATCTGCAGTAATTATGTACCAAGGATACAGTTCTTATCTTGATATGTTTCAGTTTTTGATCTATTATTGAAATTGTCGACATCATGTAAAATTTACCCTTAAGCTAGATGGAAGACATAATGACTGATATTTCCCCATGGACCTGCTTGAGTTTCATTCATCACCTGTTTTGATGTTTGGTGCGACCATTTTTAAATTTTTTCCTCATGTTTAGTGCACGTCACTAAAATGTGCATGAAAATTATATTTTATTAAAGGTTATAGATTGCATTGTCTGACTCTTTTCTAAATAATCCGTTTAACAGGTCTTAGCTAGAGGTGTAGAGTGCGATATTGCTTTGCTTTATGTGGAGAGTGAGGAATTCTGGAAAGGGGCTGACCCACTTAAGTTTGGGCGTTTGCCATGTCTTCAGGTGCTAAATTTATCCTGATATAGATTAATGAAAAGAGGTTTCACATACATTTATTGGAATACTACTGTACTGGAAAAGTTAATGCTGAGTGCTGTTTTTGTTTTAAAGAAATTATTGGACATTGGCATTTGGGCCTCACAGCAGTGCTTGTACAAGTAGTTTTGGCTCATGCCAGCTGACTAGATGTGATAGTGTTTTTGTCTGTTTTGTTTTTGACATCTTACTTAAATGCTTATTACTCGTAAGCAAAAATTATTGAACATAAATATTATACTATGAGAGGTCTTAACAGCTTTGTAAGTTCTAATAACTGACCTGGTTACTGTTTTCTTTTGTCATGCATCTATTATAGGGTCTGATATGGGCCATTTGAACAATCTGGCTTCGTAGATGAGTATGTGATTAGGATGCTATTTTTCACTGTAGTTGTGGCTGATTAAGCTTCTCTGTGCAGATATTATCTCAAAGATCACTAGAGAAGTTCTGATTATGACATCAGAATGCTTAGTATGGAATTCTTACTTTGGAGTATTCTGATCTATTGTATGCAACTGTCATGTAGGACTCTGTGACTGTTGTAGGATATCCACTTGGAGGAGATACTATATCAGTTACTAAGGGTGTGGTATCACGAATAGAGGTTTGTTTATTATTTTCACTTGAGAGAGTAAATTCCATTTCCATGGTGTACACTTTCTGTTTTGAGAAAACGATGAAGAACTATAAATCGACTTTGTGAGGACTTGTCGAGAGATAGGTTGTTTCTTATTCTTTGTCTTATATACATGGAGAACGACACTGTATTTATACAAGTTTTTGCAATTGTTTGGGTTTCATGAACTGTTATGCTAATTACTTCAACAATTTCAAGCTTTCAAAGAGAGAGACTTATTTGCATAAATCTAAATTCTGAGAGAGCGATGGAGAGACTTATTTCCGAAATTTTTTCTTGAGATATGTAGTACAACGGAGAGAGACATTCTGCCGAATCTCCTTCCAAACCTATCAATAATTAAAAAAATTAAAATTATATGAGTTTCTGCCCGAACTTGCAAATATCACATTGATCGACACGGGGCATCCAAGCCACTCATGCTTTGTGTGCCTGCACGTGCGAGGCTGCATGTGTGTGTGCGTCTTTGCGCATGTGCACAAAGATATAAAACAACCTTTTTGTTCTCAACGAATTTTGCAATAGGAGCCCCGCAATGTGTTTCAGGAATCTGACAATGTGTTTCAACAGTCCAAACACCACACCCCCCCCCCTTCCACCTGTCCCCCCACCCAAAAAAAAGAGAAAAAGAAAAAAAAGGAAGAAATAAACGTGCACACACACACACACACATGCACAACATGAAAAATGTTTGGTTTGATTTTATGTAACGTTATCCTGTTTGACCTCTGGAAAATGGCAGTTTTGAATCTTTTGATCCTCCTGAGTCCAGAGCATGACTAGAATGCTTCAAAGAAATGTCCTCAAGAGCATGAAAGAAAATAGTTTGATAGAGCTCCCCAACCTGCCTTTTGTTTCAAATGGTGCACATATCATCGTCAATTTTTGAAAAGCAGGCGGGCTTATTTATGTGATGTTTCCTTCCAGGAGTTAGACGCATCAATTTTTTATAGCCAGAATGGATTTTATTTACCAGTTGAAGTAGCTTGTGCTTCTGTTGCTCTACGGACTAGTTATACCTATTTTGTCACATATTTGAAAAAAGAACTCGTGTTTTGCATTGATATACTCAAATATTCTGAAGGGATGCTGAAGTTTTGATTAGTTCACCTGTTCTACTGTGACCTGGTGAAATCCAAACTATTATTTTCTATTAATGATGCAGATATTTAGTGTGTGTGTTTTTATCTATAGGTGACATCATATGCTCACGGTGCATCTGATTTATTGGGAATTCAGATTGATGCAGCAATAAATCCTGGTAATTGCACATGAAGTTGTCAGATCTTTCCTTTCTCAAAGATATATTTTTGTAGGAAAAGATTCATATAAGGTTGAGGCCCTAAACAATCAAATTAAGGTGCACCAAAAAATTCATTAGAAGAGGTTGTTTTGATGCCCAAAAATCCTCAAATCAATCAACTTAACCTCAAGATGTATGGATGTAAAAAAAATGGATTTCAAGTCTTGGAAATAAAGCATCTTGTATTGCATTTTCTAGACCGTAAATTTTCAAGATTTTCAAGGATTCATAGGTCTGCTCGATCTATACTATTTCAGAAGCTTTAAATCTTATAATTAGATATGAAAATAAACTTTCAGGCCATCACAAAGATTTCAATACTGAAACTACATCTTTCGACACCATTTGAAGATGCACCTTACTTTGATTGTTTAAGGCCTGAGACTTATACAAATCACACCCATTGTTATATTATTAGTTGCATAATCATAAATCAAAACTTCAAAGAGGATTGGTTCTCATATTTGAGGTTAAGTTTTATTTTTGGTACTTCAAAATGTCTCAATTGTTGTTTGCTTGTCCTGCTTGTAGGGAATAGTGGTGGTCCTGCATTCAATGACCAGGGGGAGTGCATTGGTGTGGCCTTTCAGGTTGTTCTTTTGTTCCATTTTTCAAAGCTTAGAGGTTTCCCCTTTAAACTCTTGTATTTCAAGCTTCCATCTCGATAAGATTTATTCAATTTGTTTTCTGATTCCAGTTCTGTGCATTTTGGTTTCAGTTTTCATGATAGCCACAGTTGATGATATTAGATGCTTCAACTTTGGAAATAAATTCTATTGCTATGGTATTCTTACCAAATAATTAAATGCTTCAATATCTGAAGCCCTAGTATGCAAGTTGTACAAGTTAACTCTATAAATAATTCTGTATTATGAACGTCCACATGGTATTGGTTTCCTTTTCAAATACAAATAAATGAGAAAAACTCTCATTAAGACCTCCAACTTAATTGCAAAGTTTAACTGTTGATAAGGTATAGATATTTATCCATGTTGGCATCTGGCTAAAAACCCAAACAGTGGACTCTGGGAAAGCCTTATTTCAATGGGTCATCATTGTTAAGTAGAAATAAAGGATGGTGATTGAAGAGAGAATGGGGTACAGTAACTAGGACATGAACAATGGGTACCACTCTCTCCACCATTAATCATTTTAATGGATGCTATGACCCAACGGGATATGATTTCTCATTCTCCATAAGGTTATAGTGTGCCTTACCTTGAATTAAATGAAAGTGTGGCTATGTAGAATTCCAAAGTATAAATTCAAAAATTTTATGTTATTTTTTATTAATAACTGGAGTTTTTACTTACAATTATCTACCTTTGTTAATTGTTTTTCCACCATTCCCTTGCCCCAATACAATGTAGAAATAAACCTATTGTAGTCTAGGATCTTTAAAACCTAAAATAAAAGTTTATTCAAACCTGAGGTTGAAATTATAGTGTAGAAAACATATATGAATTAGAAACAAATAGAATAAATAACACTAGGAAGACTTATTGAGCTTTTTTCCTTGGGTTACCCCCTTACGATGGGTTACCCCCTTAGGACTTGGCATCCCCCACACCTGATCACCTAATTGTTGACGCACTCAATCCTTAGATCCTGCTGAATCCATTAAACCAGGATGCACCTCTGGAACACCTTTATCACAAAGCTATGGGGCTAAGAGCATGGATCACAATTAGGGTTTCTAAAAAATTCCTTTTTAATCCTTGGGCCATGCCTTTGAGCGGCACCTCTCCTAGCCTAGTCTAGGGGCCCCCTTTCTATCTTTATCTTGGGTGCGGCGTGCCATCCCAATATCCTTATGGGGATCACATGCCACTGAGAGAGAGAGAGAGAGAGAGAGAGAGAGAGAGTACTAACGAACAGTAGGAGAAGTAGACGACGGAAGGGGTAAGGGGGGTAGGGGGGGGGTAACGGGTACTACTTCCTTACTTAAGTACGTCC